CTTCCTAGATAAGATGTACAGTCTTCGTGGTACCATTTTTCACAAATACAACACATTATCCAATCTTCAAGGGGTTTTCCTTCAGGTCCCTTTAAATATTTTTCTAAGCAAATAAGGCAGATGAGATTACTTTCAGACTCATTTTCGTTTTGATTTGGCTTCTGTTTTGATGTTTTTTTCACCTTGCGTTTTGGTAATGTTTTTGTCGCTTTAGCTTCTGCATTTTTCAGTCTTTCATATTGTAATTTTTTAATAGGGCTACTGGTTAAAACTTCTGCCCGTTGTCCTTTTCGTTTTCTTGTTGATATTTTAGTTAAATCAAATTTAGGTATAGGTCGAATTTCCGATGGGGAAACTTTTTGATCACCAATGCAATTTGTATAAACTTTTTTTGTATTTTTTGGTGTAGTCTTTTCATTACTTGTTGATTTTAATATAGTAGAGTTCATTATTGGTTCGAAACTTGTACTAGGTATATTAGTGTCCGATTCTAAAATAGGCAAGTTCATTACTGGTTCTAAACGTGTACTAGGTATATTTGTGTCCGATTCTAAAATAGGCAAGTTCATTACTGGTTCTAAACTTGTACTAGGTATATAAGTGTCTGAGTCTAAAACAGGCAAGTTCATCATGGGTATATCAGTAACTGATGCTGGAGCATAGTCTTCATCTCCAAAAATAAAAGGATTTAAAGGCCACAGCCCCGTTGCTTTGAATCCGTTTACTGCATTTAGAGGAGTAGCTCCTTTTAAATAAGCGGGACTGAAAATTTTGACAATATCATATTGATTAATTATACGACCACTATACGATTTTTGGAAAACATTAATCTCTTGTTCAAAAAACTTTTTGATGGGGCCAAAAACAGATTTATCCAATGGTTGCATTTTATGCGTTGTGTGAGGTGCAAAGGAAACAAATGGTACTAATATGGTTTTCAACAGCATATTTTAAAGCAGGGTAATACTTATGCGACTCATGGTTGTCTAAGACTAAAATAACTTTTTTATCTGGTGTGGGTCGCACTATTTCTACAAAAAATTGAAGCCACGTTAAAAATAAATCACCATTTGTCCAACCACTAGCAGAACAATGCCCTTTGGAGCCAGGAGGAGCCCCATCCATCAACCTTGGTTGCATCTTTTGTCTTGCAAAAATAAAAAAAGGCGGGTTAAAAGAGCCAGCTGCATTACAGCAACCAATAACTGTTGTCAGTTTTCCTCGCTCAGCACTAGAAATAACTCCAACTTGTTTTTTTCCAGTAATTGAAAACACTTTAGGGGGTTTATTAGTCGTTGTTGAAATACCAGTCTCATCCATGTTGTAAACGCTAGTGGCATCCGAATCACAAATATTATATTGCTCTTCCAATAATTTAAAAAATCTTTCAACTTGTGGCCGATTAAAACCTCTAGCTCGAGCCACAGAAGTTGGCTCTGGAGTTCTTAGAACTATATTAGGATTACGTTTTAGAAAATGAGCTAACCATTAAGTGAGCTCTACTTTACAGAGTAGCTCTTTTGTATTTTTTTGAGAATATACCATAAAAAACCGAATCTATTTCTTTTAAGTAGCTAACCAGTTCTTGTTCTTGTTCAGGGGAAAAAGTAGATCTAAACCTGCCAAGATGTTTGTCAACACAGCCTCATTTAAAATGCCTATACAATGTTGAAAACGGAATGTTATACATTACTGATGCAGTCAATATTTTGGTCCCATTTTGACACTCAAACATGGCCATTTGTAGATCATTTTCTGTCCAACTACCTTGTTTTGTCTTACGGACATATTTATAAACCATCTAGAAAAATATAAATTATACATTATAGTATACTTTATTTTTTGTTAAAATTAGAACAATTTATGAGAAATATTCTATTCAATTTTCAAAAATGTTGATAGAGTGAAAAATTATTAATCGACAATAATTGAAAAAAAATATCATGGCTATAAATAGCTATATTTTGAAATTCTTATCTTGTGGAAAATGGTCGCATTAAAATTTGGTGAAAATCAAAAGTAGGTACATACCTACGTTAATTAGTTTTGAGTTACACCAAAAAAATAAAATCGTATTTTCATCATTAAATGTTATATTTTAATTTACGGGCAAAGTGAATATATTCACTTTGCCCGGTTCAGTTTTTTTCTCAACTAATTTTAATAACTTAAACTACGGTAGATTAAATATAGCAATATATACGCAAGACTAAAGGTACTGTTCTAATAAGTATATTGATATATTATAAGTATTAATTTAATTAAAATAAACATAATTAAAAATTAATTCTTACCTTGATTTTTTTTTCTAAAATGTCAACAATTCAGAAAACTATTATTATTTATTCATTATCATTAGTTACCACCAACAAATTAGATTCCCGCTTATGTACAACAAACAGTGCTACCAATATGTTTTTACAATATTTCAAATACTTCATTAGATAATAAGTTATTAACAATATTCACTTTGCCCGTGGTATCCGTTTTGCCCGGGTCTCCCATACCCCTCCTCACCGACTATCACAACTTTAAAATTTAAATACTTATAACTCATAAACTACTCGTCCCAAATTCGATTTGTATGTATCAAAATACTTAGAAAAAAAAATTGCTTTGGAATATGAAATTAAAATTCCATGTTATTCAAAAAAGTAAAAAACTTAAAAAAAATTTAAAAACATGATTTTTTAATAAAAACTTTGTTTTTTTAACAACTTGAAACTATACAAAAAAATATTTTCAAAACCATTAATACTTTTTGAAATAATGAGTGTTCAATGATAAAAGAATAGTCCCGTATATAATTGTCTGTATGATTACTAAAATTATATAAGTATGATTTAGGTACTTCAATTTGGTTTGAAGAAATACCGAGAAAAATTGTATACGCCTACAATTGAAGAATGAGAATGGAAACTCAATTTCATCTCGAAAAACATTTGTTTTCACCCAGTAGGACAATCTTAAACAATGATCAACACGAGAAACTCTCATGGACAGGTACACAAATTGTATGAAAAAATTAGCATTAACAATCTACTTCTCATTACCATTTGTCCATATGTAAGAACTTTAACAAGAGTTGCTTTAAATATGATATAACTCCTGGATTAAATGATTTTTTTATTTGAATTTTTCAAGACAAAAATGTCTAACTTTGAAACTGAGGCTCTTGAGATGTTATTATAAAAATTGTTAAACATTTCTGTAAATTTTAAAGCATTTGTCAATGACCAACACTCTAATTTTGTTAGTTTTAGTAAAAATGTTTAGGACATATTTTTATGATACTTACAATTTTTTGAAAAAAATAAATGTTATTTCTCAGTTATTAGTTGGTTCCGATGTGACTATCAGGATAAATTTCATAAACCTTCATTATCCACTTACTATGTAGATTTTATTTTACATTACTGTCTAAATATTTCTAGGTGCAATATTACAATAATGTATTATTGGTAGGTAATGATAAACAACAGTCTCTAAACTTTTAACTATATTTTTATAAAAGTTATTTTATATTTTAGTCTACATCCTGGGCCTGAACAACACATGAATATATATACAAAGTAAATATACATAACAACTGCTATTTGTAACCAACAACTTGAGGTAATTCTTATCAAACTTCTGATTGGTATTCATCAACACGAATCAGGCATTAAATAAACCTATTGTGTCTGAATCATATACAGTTTAAATTAGTAAGTATAGATATTATAATAGTTAATGTGTATTAATTTTATTTCATTTCAGTTATAAGCATTTATATTATTGTTTCCACACAGCATTATGGCTTTTGAAAAATCAGCTAACAGTACATCATTGATTTGAGCAGTAGGTATCCTCTACGGAAATAGTATGTGCTAGTTTAAAATCTTTTGATTTATTTTGTTTGATTAGTGTTGTATTGACATTGTGTAAAATTATATAGTATATATATAAATGTAAGTTTATCCACAATTTTATAATTGCATTTTGACACAACAGTGATATTTTTCAATATAATATCATGATGATCTGTTCTCTGGGAACATTTTTGTAGCCTGCAAGAGATAATTAAAAAACTTATGAAATATACTCGTGCTGGCGAGAGAACGCTTCTCGTTTGCGCATCCAAATGACGGAGCTCCGCGGTTTCGTACCCACATTTCTCCCACTTTACCACCTAGGCGCCGCCGTAAATTCTCCCACTCGTTACGCGTGACCAGCGGCAAATATCACGGCCGCTGTTTGTATACACCGGCTCAAGGAACACGAGAATAAATTAATAGCTGGCTATTGGGGCACCTATTATGTATTTAATAACAATGCAAATAATATGTATGTAATATCATATTTTATTTATGTATACCAACAACATAATACATTGTTATATAACATAATACACTTTATAATATTAACTTACTAAAAAATATTCAAATACAAAAAAATATACAAAAAAATTAAAATGGTAAAAATACAAAAAAATACAAAAAAAAATCAAAATAGTTCAAAATCGTTCAGATTATTCAAATACAAAAAAATCAAAATAATTCAAGTAAAAAATACAAAAAAAATTAAAATAGTTCAAAATCGTTCAGATTATTCAAATACAAAAAAATATCAAAATAATTGATATACAAAAAAATTAAAATGGTAAAAATACAAAAAAATCAAAATAATTCAAGTACAAAATAATCAAAATATAAAATAAATCAAAATAGTTTAAATACAAAAAAAAATCAATCAGAGTCACAATCAGAAGAACTTGTATCTCCTGTTCTTATCGTGAGAACATGACGTTCATCGTCGTCGGGTAGCTCGTCCATTAATTCGTCGGTAATATGTTCCATCCAAGTCCCAAAACTTGTCTTCCACCTTTTTAACATGTTCAATAAAATTTTTCCACATATCCGGACTTACGTGTTCCACGCCTTTTTTTTAACAATTCCATTACGTCCTTTAATTTGAAGTTGTTGTTATGCGTCCGGACATAACTTTTCACGGACGACCACGCGAGCTCGATAGGATTTAGCTCGCAGTGATATGGAGGTAATCGCAATATGAGTTTGCCGTTATCTTTTGCGTACTCATCGATTACGTATGTGTCGTGATGTTTTTTTATTTTGTAAACTTTTTTCATTAAATCATTTTTAACAATAGGATGAGTAACGATCACACCTTTACTCTCAAGCCAATCAATTATAGCTTGTTTTTTCCAAGACCTCACTGGTATTTTCTGTTTTTTTACGGAATGGTATGAATGGTATCCATGACGATGATGGCGTTCGGTTTAAGTAATGGCAGGGTCTTAACAAACCATTCGTAAAACGTATCGCCATTCATTTCGTCATGGTAATCCGCAGAATTGGTCTTGGATTCGAAACACAAAAGGCCCCCCGGAACAAAACCGTCTGACGACCCGATGTGTAATACAATGAGACGCTTACCTTTGCCGGAGGGTGCATTTTGTCCTGTGGTGAGACCTCTCAGGTGTGCATCTCGTGTTTATGCGACTGTTGTATCTACCCACGTTCTGCTATGCATCTCGCCTGCATTGACCCACGTCTCATCTAAGTAATATATTGGCCTATTCTGTGCTCGGTAATGCCTTATTTTCAACACTTAATTTCGGCGCCAAGATATTAAATCTTCTCTTTCGAGAAGAGCACTGTTGCGATTTTTCTTGACGTACTCAAATTGTAAATCTTTTAATATTAATTGGAAAGACGTACGTTTCAGATTCGGTAATGAGTCGTCTTCATTGAAGCGGCACCTAATGAGAATATTAGTATTTTTGGTTTCCCTTTTTTAATAACAATTCGTACACTAGAATGCCTTATTTATAATTTGTTAATTTTTATTTAAATAATTCAATTTGACACAATTTTTATTGTACAGTAATTATTCGACTGTGAGTTTACAACTTTACAACTCGAAGGTAGGCCGTAAACTGAAGGGGCCTGCACGCGACCTGTTTTTTTGCTCAAAAACATGCCTTACAGGAAAAACTCTCACGCCTCGTAGATTGGTCCGATTTCCGTAATTTTTTTTTTGTTAGATAGAGGAAGACTTCTTACAGGGCGCATTGGACTTGGATTTTCAACATTATTTTTCTAAATCTTATGTTACAAGTTTGAATTTAATCAATTTTTACAACTTTTTAGTTTTTGTATTATTTTTTGTTTTTAGCGACGTAATCAAAAATCGAAGTCCAATACGCCCTGTAAAAAATATTCCTCTATCTAACAAAAAAAAAATTACGGAAATCGGACCAATCTACGAGGTGTGAGAGTTTTTCCTGTAAACTGTGTTTTGACCGATATAATACACCCTATCAACCCCCCCTAAAAAGGTATTGGGTAGTAGATTAGTGGAAAAGTCTTATAATTGAGGTGGCAACTAAAATATAAAATTTAATTTTCAAATTTTATAGAATTGCGGAAAATTTGAAAAATCGCGAGCAGGCCCCTGAAGATAACGCGACCCGGTGCTGCAACGCCGACCGATATTCGCGTTATCTCAGTTTACGTTTACAATTCATTTCTATATTATTAAATCAGATATTATGGTATCGAACATATCGCCCAGCATTTTACGCTGACGTAAAATTTTTTATAAATACAAATATTTCAAAAAATTAAGTTTATAATTTTTACATATTACACAAAAAATAACAGTAGATACATTTTTTTTTTTTTTTTAAATAATTAAATTAATAAATAATTAAATAATTTTTAATTATCATCCTTTATTGGTAGTGGGCATAAGGAGCGAGCGGCACGCTTGACCTCTCCCTTGTTGGTCCGGATCGACGCTACAAATGTTTTCCAGCGTGTTGAAGGCGAATTTATCCACGCGAGTACTATGGTCGAATCAGGCCAAAAATGTTTTTTATTTATTGTAATATTTAATTTTGGTATTATCTTATCAGCTAGTCGCGCTAACAGAACAGCTGCACACAATTCCAAGCGTGCTAAAGAGACTACCTTTAATGGAGCCACCTTTGACTTTGCGACTATCAGTCTGGAATGGTGATTGCCTAATGCGTCTGTGGTCCGTGCGTATAGACACGCGCCGAATGCTTGTATCGACGCGTCAGCGAAACCGTGTATTTGTGTGACTAACACGTTCGAACAACCGATTATCCATCTTGGAATGTGGATTTTTTCAAGTTCTGGTAAGGTTTGTTGATAATTTTGCCATTCTTCGTGTAGCGACGACGCAACAGGGTCATCCCAATTTATACGTGCTTGCCATAGTTTTTGCATAAATATTTTGGCGACGACGACAACGGGTCCGACGAGACCGAGCGGGTCAAATATAGTCGCTATTGTTGATAATACTATACGTTTTGTAATTCGTTCTGCATTGTTTTTACAATTATTGTTTACTTTATATTGATGTACGTCGTTAAACGGATTCCAAAACAGAAATAACGTTTTTGTAGTGCAGCTCTCGTCCAGATTTAGAACGCGCAGTGGGTCATTGTCCTCGTTTGATATGTGTTCTAATAATCGACGGTCGTTAGAAATCCATTTACGTAATTTGAAGCCGGCCGTATTTAAAATGTTGATAACGTCGTCGCGTAATTTTACGGCGGCCGTTACGTCGTTGGCACCGCCCAGATAGTCGTCCATGTAGAAGTCATTAGTGATGGCTTTATGAGCGTCTGGAAATAACTCTTTCATTTCTTCTGCTAATCTTGTTAAGCATCCAGTGGCTAAATATGACGCTGGCGTCGTTCCCTAGGTAACTGTTTTTAATTTGTATTCGATGATCGGCTCGTCCGGTTGTGAACGCCACAGTATTCGTTGCAAGTTGGCGTCTGCATTTGATACCCAAACTTGACGGTACATTTTTTCTATGTCGGACAACATGACGTATTTATACGACCGGAAACGTGCAATAATGCAGACTAATTCGTCTTGAATGTTTGGCCCTTTTAATAACAAATCATTTAGGCACGACGCGTCAAACACGACTCGTAGTTTGGTAGTAGCACTACTGTCGCGGAAAACTGCGTGATGAGGTATATAATACGACTTTTCTTTTTCTTCATTTTGATCTACCTTTTCCATATGACCAAGGTTCACGTATTCTTTCATAAACTCGACGTATTTTTGTTTTAATTCGGGATTCGAACGAAATCGGTTTTCCATGGATAGAAAACGTTTCAAAACTATTGAACGCGACGCGCCTAATGTGTTTATGTTATCGCGCAACGGTAATCGAACAACAAATCTGCCTTCATCGTTACGTTTTACTGATCTGTTAAAATGTTCAACGCACATTTTTTCTTCAGAACTATAAACGGTTTCTTTCGGTATTTCTTCTAATTCCCAAAACTTGGTAATCTGATCGTTTAGATCAAAACAGTTCGGCTTTTCTGACGTTACGTTTAGAAAGAAGGAGTGTACTGTCAAATTATTTTCGCTTTTAGCGGGGCCGGCAACTATCCAACCAAATACTGTCTCTTGAAACATAGGGCCATTTATAATAGGTTTATGCTGACCTGTGAGTAAAACATCATAGAATATTTCGGCGCCTAATAAAATATCTATTTTCCCTGGCTGAGCGTACGACGGGTCGGCAAATTGTATGTGTTGTGGTATGTTCCAGTTTGACGTGTTTATTTTTTCCGTTGGTAAGTACGTTGTAATTTTTGGTACAGTCAAAAAATTTAACATATACTGATTTTCGGTCGATCGCGATTGTATTTCTGTTAATACAGAGTGCGCGGAATAGCTTTTTGACTTGTTTACCCCGGTTATTTCACAATTAATATCTTTTTGTATTAGCCCGAGTTTGTTTGATAACTCATTTGTTATAAAATTTGATTGCGATCCGGAGTCCAACAGTGCTCTTGAGGTAAACTTAGCAAAACCATAGGGTTACAACAGCATAACCTACGCGCACTATATCACGACGAAATACCAAATTGCTTGTTATTTCATATCGATACAGCAAATAAAAACTTATTGCGGCCATACACGCCAGCAGAAATACTGGAAATAACGCGCACACTCAACTACTTTTCTCACGACATGACAAAAGAAAACCGACCACTTAGAAAACCACTGTGCATTTACTTAAAAGAATTTATTGACAGCACGGTAGATCCAACGGACATATTCGTATATAAACGACTAACCTTTTAATAATGTAACCATAATTTTACTTTTCTATTTTTTTTTCTTATTTTTATTAAAACTGAACTTCGATTTATTTATATATATACTAACATAAATAACATAATATTTGTTTTTTTTTTTTAATTTACGACTAAAATGAGTATATTTTACAGTAAAGTACCTGAGTTCGCAATAATAGATTTCGAATTCGGCAGCTGCGGGCGAGATCGATTAATATTAATATCAGGCGCCATCATGGGCCGATATCAACCGGAAATTATTACGAAACTAGAGGGGCGGGCGTTGAATTTACAGTAAAATCGACCCATTACGGACGACGAATGGAAACAGTTAGTTAGACATTTCCAGCATATATTTAAGGATAAGCCCACCTCTTTGTACCCCGTACTCGCCCAAATATACGACTCGGACCACTCATTGTCACCGAACCTTACACAACCGCAAATAAAAGGACAATTAGATCGTTACGACGCCATATTAACTTGGGAGGGAAGCACCGACAAAAAAATTTTAGAACTATTAAACATTAACCGACCCGTATTTTCTTTACGTGGGTGGGACCTCCACATGGATGGACATTTCGTACTTCTCCTTACTGACTACGGAAGTAACGAACCGATAGCGTCAATCCCAATAAGAAAACACATTAAAAGGGGAAGGGCACTTAAACTAGATGAAGCACATACGCTGTTATGTGAGGACTTATACTATCACGGGGGACTGGAAGCTCATGATCCACGAGCAGACGTCCAATGGACACGGTGCCTCTTTTTACAACTCTACAAAGTACATAAAAATACAATTAACGACGCCGTGCGCGCAAAACAAAACAAAATTGAACCGGTAGAATTATAACGTAACTTAACGTATTATTTATATTTTTCACTCAATTTATATTTACTTTTTCTTTGGTATTTTATTTTATTATTTTATTATTATTATTATTATTATTATCATTCGGTACAAGGTTATCAATTAGTTTTTTTATATATATATATATATATATATATATCATTTATACATGGGAATGGGTTAATATTTAATAACTTAGATTTTAAAAATCAAAATATTTATAGGTAGGAATATATTAAATATTCAAAACTATGACTTGACTAATAAGCTGAAACGATTTCAGACTTATTCTACTAACAATACCGTTCACATCGGGCACATTACGATTCACAGACGAACATTTAACTCAACATTCTGGTATTTACTACGAAAATCGAGGACCGTTGAAACTTGTAACATCTCAATGGGACCTTACTGCATACATTAACCTTACTAAATAAAATAAAGAATTCGAATACATAAACCTAGTAATAGAAAAAACGAAAGTATTGTGCGTTACACACATGCACGACCCAGTACAAAATAATTTTAATTGTAACAACTTACTTCTTTCAGCTACCGCTATAGTTGAAAATTTACACCATAAAAAGACACAGGTCTTAAATTCTATTGGACACGTAATTACTAAGCGTAGCGCTTTAACTAAACTAGTAACAAAAACAGCTAGGTTAATATACGGAATATGTAATTTAGAATGCATACAGAAATTCAATTTTAATATAGGAGTAGCTAAAAACACTTCACAATCTAAATTGATAAAAGAACAAATTAAGGTAGTAGAACTACAACATAATTTAGAACCACACGACAATATAACTATCCATGTCCTGAAGGTAATCCTTTACATCCTCGTAATATACGACCCACATGCGAAGTACTATTATTGCAGGATCCAGACAAGGTTCCGAACAGTTGTGAAGTAATGCATGTGCAAATAGGTACAACTATTTTCCATAAGAAGAGATTTAAAAATGAATGGATATACGTGACCGACTATGACGTACTATTTGTTACCTGTGATGAAGACAAGGAATCAACTAGCCACACACTCAAAGGGGTAGGAATAATACACTTAAACGAAACCTGCAAAGGTTACGCCACTAGAGACATACTGATACCGGGTAAGGTTGACTACAAATCCGAGTATATGGACTTCAACCCACGGTCAATAATAGATCGTAACCACTACTCACTACGCGTAGAGACTAACAATTTAATGGAAGACTATCATGTCAAAACAAACAACATGGAGGACCTAAATACAGTGTCAGGATCGAAAAAACAGCTGGAAAAACAACGCAAGGTCGACAACAGTATCGACGAACTTAAAAACTCACAGGAACTGAATAATTACATACTTTATGTCATAGCAAGTGTAATTTTTATGACAGTAAGCATATTTATTATAAATACGATTAAATCCAAAACAAACTATACAAAAGTAGAGTCACCAGAAGAAACAGAACCACATGGTGCGAACCAAGAAACGTCGACAAGAAGCGTCGACACAGTCGAATTTCCACTCACACCAAGAAACAGCCCTACTGGCTATCCACAACTTCGTACGTTCTTGAACTAAGGGAAGTCGGAGACTTCCATCTTCGAGGGGAGGAATGTAGTAAACCGACGGAGTCGTTTCCTATATATTCAATATTATAATTACATTTCTCACGATGTCACGCTGGACAACAACAAGACTAGGAATCTTTTGCAATACCTTGGGTTTGACAGCACAATTAAAACTTATCTTTTTCAAACCTTGGATTTGACAGAGCAATTAAAAAACTAATCTAACGATTAATTTGCGAATCTTCGCTTTGCCAAAATAATGCGAAAACAAACTTATTAAATTGCCAATCAACCACTCGGGTCTTTTGGCAATAACAACATCTACCTCCAGGCGCCTTTCAAATATCCATCTCCTAGACTCTACCGTGTACTTTTATATCCGCATAGATTTCATATAAATATAAGATGATGTCTATTGCAAAATTAGAATTAGTTTAGAGTTTGCACTACGTACATACTGTACGTAACTAACTTCTCGGGCAGATGCTTTTCGCTCTGTCCTCAAATTTATATTTCGCTTAATTGTGAACATTTACTTTTTAAAACATTAATAAACTACTTATACCTAACTTGTGTAACTTGTCTCTGCAACCTTTTCTCCTATTCAACCGTCAACGTCTTTGAACTCAAAAATATAAGTGTTAGTGAGGGATCACTACACTCCTATGGCGTTTTTAGTATAAAAATGGTACATAGCCGCGTACACCTGACGTCATTTCGGCGTCCTCTACGGAATAATTTTAATTGGGGATTATATGTTTTCAAAGTTATCTATTTTTGTTGTTTACGGCTTTTGCGTCTTTCCTAGAATATGAATAATGCGCGCGTATACCTATTGCGCTGTACTATTAATTAGTTCTGTACTCTTATCGATGTGGCTGCCCGGACGCTTATATTATTACTATTATCGGGTTACTTGCCCTCTGCAGCATTTATATTTGTTATTGAATATAATATATTATATTATAAGCGTATTATACTTAATACAGCATAATATAATATAATATTTTATATATTATTACTATTATAATATGTACGTAGTCACAGCCCGTTACAATACCAAACAGTGAGGAAAAGTTTATAACGTTTTCAAAATATATTAGCAACACTTTCACAATAAGATTTATAGACACATTAAGATTTATGCCCGCAAGCTTATCAAAACTTTCAAAAAATTTAATTACACCCGGATTTGAAAAGTTTAGAGAGACAGAAAAATATTTTTCATCTCAAGATTTACCACTTGTTACCCGAAAGGGAGTCTACCCTTATGAGTATACAGATAGTTGGGACAAGTTGGAAGAAACAGTTTTGCCTCAGAAAGAAGATTTTTACAGTTCACTGTACGAATCACATATAAAAGATAAACATTATGATCATGCGAAGACGGTTTGGAATCATTTCAACTGTAAAACAATAGGGGAATACTCCGATCTTTATTTAAAAATCATTTACAATCAATTTTAAATCAATCATTAACAACATATCATAATCTGTCAACAATTCCACCTTCATTGAAGTGTATTTCAACATACAGTCAAATGAGAATCCAGGTGCCGTATAGTAAAATGATGGGTCCAGATGGTATGTGCTTAAACAGAGGTCTCGGAAATTTTCAAACACATCAGCCAACAGTTGTACATCAATTTTTAAATAAAGATCGGAGTATTCCCCTATTGTTTTACAGTTGAAATGATTCCAAACCGTCTTCGCATGATCATAATGTTTATCTTTTATATGTGATTCGTACAGTGAACTGTAAAAATCTTCTCTGAACTCAAAAATATAAGTGTTAGTGAGGGATCACTACACTCCTATGGCGTTTTTAGTATAAAAATGGTACATAGCCGCGTACACCTGACGTCATTTACTAGTTGTGCTAGGGTTTGAAAATGTACATTGGTGTTGAGGTGCCGAATAGACTGAAGTGTGATACGGGGCAGCCGGTTGTGTGGGAAGTGAATTTGTAATTGTAGTTGAGGTGAACAGATTATTAAATGAATTTTGTGTAAAAGGCTGAGAATTATTAAAAGAGTGTTGTAAGAGGGGTTGACTATCTTTACTTGAAATTTGAGGCATAGCGGAAATATTATTATTGAAAGTTTGTGCAGGGGGTTGGTAGCTGATATTGGCTGGGGCTTGAGAACAGGCTAGGGGGTACGAGGTTGTAGAAAGAGGTTTAGAGACAGAGATAGGGTTCCGGACAACATTTTCCAGGGCAGCTAGACGGGCAGATTGACCTTCGACCATGCTTACTCTACTAGTGAGGGTTTTGACAGTGTTTTGGATTTGGTGATATGTGAGGGTGTTGGTTTTCTGGGTTTCCTGACAGCATAGTTGTTGATGAGAGAGATCGTTCTGAATATTTATAAAATCACGGTTGATATTCGCCTGAAGTTGCTGGAAATTTGTCCTAATCTCAGTATCACCGTCATCCACACGGGTACACAACTCCTCAATACGGGTATCAAAAGCAACTAACCTCTTGGACATAGCGTCAAACTGGAGGGCAAAGTTTTCAAACATATCTCTGAGCCTATTGTCTAAGGAGTCAAGAGTAGGGGGGACCTTTTGAGTCAACGAGACATCACCTTCTCCGTCGACGGACATGGTTAAATCGAAATCGGTGGGGGGTAAGAGGGGAGAGGAATAATTTACTGAAGGGTTATACCAGTCAGGTTGTCGGGTGGTTCGCTTGCCTGCACTTTGCATTAGGGGAAAATGAAATAAGTTTTAAATAATAAGTTTTAAGTAACAGCCGTTTATATAACAGAATAATATTTAAATGATAATTAGGGGAAAATTACAATTAATAGATTAAACTTGTTTCTGAACAACAGAGTAAATACACAGGTCCAAGCAATAATACCATACGGTGAATTTATCCCATATGCTCAGCACCAATTATAATCAATTGAGAAAAACACTATAATAATAATTAACTATGAAACTTAAATAAAATGTAATAATTGTAAGATATTAACAGTAATAAATAAGTAATGTCCGCAGACGAATAGATATAACCGGTCTTAATAGGTTTAGTTTAGACTAAATAATTAGAAAATAATGATAATTAAGGTAATGAATAATATGATATGGGCCTTAGGTGGACTAAACTGACCAGGTCAAAGTTTCCTACACCAGCTTCTCAAACAGTCAGTCGTGTAAAGTAATTTAATTATCAGAGGGAAAACCTACCTAACATTGGGTATTTTGTTCTTTTAAAGGGGACGTTATAATAATAAATATTTCCTATTAAATTGATTGCACAATGTGGAGAAAGAAAATGTATATTATTTATTAATTCCGTGCAAGAGAATGTTTATTTAATTTGATTTTATAATTTTAATAAATGATTTTTTATAATATATTAAGCTTTGAAGTTGGGGAATTTAAACAGATAAGAATAGTAATCCTAACAAAATAATGTAATAATAAGAATGAGAATAATAATTGGGTTTTTTCCTAGCCTTTTAAATTTAATAATATAAGAATAATAATAATTGTTCCTACCAAGGGAAACATGCTCATCAAGAACATAATTTAATAATTTATAATAACATAATACATAATATAATAATATAATAACAATCCGCAGATTTGACATTAACAATCCTAACATTTTGGACCATGTGGTCTGGGAAAAAAAAACTTAAGTTATCGCAGCAAAATACAAAAATGATCCAAGCAATGTTATACAAGGGTGGATGTACGGGTCTAGGGAAAACTAACAAGGGGGGAGAATAAGGGGAAAATATAATAATGCAAACCAAAGGGAAATAGACGGGTCATTCGCAGTGTCCGAGCCTCGATGCCGCAGCCGATCGCCAAGCCGTCACCGTCGAACGCCACCACCGCCTCCACGACGCATACACCGACAGGAACAATTTCTGAAATAAATTACTGGATAACAAATGTGTACATGGGGGGGGGGGCGGGAAATAATAATAGTTGATTGAATTTACCTTGGTAGTGAATAATACATTTTTGACTTTAATATTTTACATTTTTTTTTTTTGTTACCAAGAGAGAGAATAATTAACTGAATAGTATGACATTAAGTTAAATAATATAATAAAGATTGTCTCTTGCACAAGAATAAAAATGTCATATTGAATAATATAATAAAATAGGTAAGAGATTTGGGGAGTTGCAATAAGAGGAAATTTAGAAAATGAATAATAAATGTTTTTTTCTTACAGGAAAATAATAATTTTTACGGATGGAAGTGGATAATAATTTGCCATGTGCTTGCCAAGAAAAATAATATTTGAGACCTAACGTTTTTTGCCATTTAAAGAGTAATTTTAATATTTTTGAGAAAGGATTTTAAGTTTGAGAGTATATAAAAAAAAAATATATTATAAGTTAAAAGGGGGACTTTTGGACATTTCGTCCTGTCACGGTCGCCATATGTGAGAGTTAGTGACTTTTTAAGGCCACCAAAACCACCCATGACGAAAGGGGAACACTTTCCTCATGACCTGTGAGCCGCACCGCGTGAGACCCGAGGGTCAAGTCGGTGGAGCTCACAGGCTTTGATACACGCAACGGCAAGCTGAATGCCGAGGATTTATGTGGGGAGAGAGAGAGAGAGAAAAAAAAAAATAAGTTAATGAAAATAAATAATAAGAGCAATATTAGGGTAATCACTTGGATGTATTTTACAGGTTTTTTGATTGTAGATAATTTAAATAAGGTTTTGACATTTTTCAGTTTAACAAAAATAAAATATATAGCATGGCACATGGCAAGTAGGTATAAAATATAAAAGGGCACATGGGAAACAAAAAAAACAACGCTCGGCCCACGGGGATCGACACATCACATTACTCGTGGTGGTCTCCACAGGGTTACCGGGGCAGTTTAAATGATTTGGGGGGGAAATGAAAGGTCGAACGTCTGTAAGTGTGGTCCGGGGCCCCCTACTTAAACGCGCACAGGGACAGCTGGTTTTTTACGCCAGCTGTATGTGAACGTGTAGGAGGTTACCCGCTAGGCCCCAATGGCAACCACACCTGGACGTTCTGCAACGCACATTTCACAAGTATCGTGCTTTTAAGTGACAAAAAATAAAAAAAGAAGGGGGGAAAATTTTGTAGGTATTACTCTGACGACGTTGAGCTTGAGATGTGTTGTTGACCGAGGAACTGGATGGGCTGGTTAATACCACCGGCACACACGCGGCCGGCATGGCCCATCTTGTCGTCGATCAAACCGCCTCGGATGGTGACGGCGACACGGAGGTTGACAGGTTCAGCAGCTTTGCCCACCATCGGGCCCGTGAGCGGTACTTAGCCCATCATGGCGGTTGGTTCCCGTTGATTAAAAACAATAATAATAATCACACGCGGAGTGATGGTGGTCGACACGCGGTTGTGGTCGTTGTTGAAAAGTTCGGGATGCGTCACGGTACCAAAACGTCTGGTTCGTTCAGCGATCTCGGAAAATGTGTGTAAAGACGGCTGATGTTGTCTTGCCGCTGGTCGTGGCCGTTGATGTTGACGTGGTGGGGAAGGTCAGTGTCGCATTATAGGGACGTTTACAATAATAATTGGGAAAACAGACTGCTTTGTCGGTGCGTATCGACGGACGCGACAGCTGCGACCGGCGGTGACGACCGGCAACGGCAGCGGCCTGTTGGCGGGCGGACACTGCGGGTTGTGGGGGCCGGGGTCAGGTGTTATGTAACATTGTGGTCATTTATGCATTGGCGAGCGATAAATATAATAATATCATAATGTAATCATAAGTAATAATAATAATGAAAAATAACATGCTCAGGGGAACTATAATAATATTAAGTAAGGCCTAAAATTCTGTGACGTTACAATATGTAAGTATTTAACTGTCTTCAATTATTGAAAAATGTTATTAAAATATTATAAATGTAAATTAGAAGTTTAATTGTAAAAATAACTTACTTTTTTCCAATTAGAAAACCCAGTAATAGTAAAAGTGTTTTCTGAATTTCCATAGTCATTTGAAAAGATGCGGCAAGCAAAGCAAAATACAGCATTCATTTTAATGCTATACTCGACCCAATCAAAATGTGTACAGTAAACTGATGTGAATGAACGATTTTGTGTGCCAAATTTGGTTTATGGATAAATCTATTTTTAATTTAATAATCAAATAATAGTATTCATCAATAATAAAGTATTTTTATATTTATTTAGGTACCTTTAACATAGGTCTTATAGAAACCGAATCTATATCTCCAAGATCTGTTTCTAAACTATTTGCAATCGTTGAGCTGGATACAAGTGAATAGGGTTTATCAATGGGTCTGTCCTGAACCTGAATGGTTTCTGTTTCAGTGCTACATGGATCTGGATCATCTACTAGTTGATCATTTTGTTCTTGAGTATCCACATTGTTTGTAAGCGGAAAATCATCTTTTTTAGTAACTTCACGAAATTTAAAAATATCAAATACTTTTCTTTTATCCATTGTAAAAAAATAAACTATTACACTTACACTTTACAGTAGAAATATAAATACTGTAAATATGTCAATAATAATCACACAACTCATTCAATTAATAATGTATTATAATGTACAGACTACAGAGTGAAGAAACAAGTTACAAGTGTAGGTACTGTAGAGGTATCTACAACACAACTGTCACAACTACACAAGTGTCATGTATATTTTTGCCTTCGATAAAATTATCAATTGATATAGAATATAAATTATAAACTATATCAACCTTCACAGGGGTTTTTTCTGTCATATGAGCATAAATCTAAAAATAAATTTCCTATTGGAAATTATAACTGATAAGCTGCGATAGACGTGTTAATGTGTTATATATTATCAAAATAATATAAACATCAATAAATATTAAATTATTTTGTTAGTTGTAGTCTCAATAATTTTAATAAGCTTCAAGTAAAATCGTTTAAAAACTGGGGGGGCTATGGATAAAACTGGGGGGCTAAGCCCCCCCAAGCCCCCCCTAATTGCGCCTATGTGCATAACTGACAGTCTGATATTTCAAGTGTGATGGCAATAAGTGTTTCGATTTGTTTGATTTATATTTAATGTTTAAAAATATACTCACTAGACGTTTCAACAACTATTAGTCCAACATAAAAGATACAATCAATATGGTAATCATAATTGTTGACATCTCCAAAATACATTTTTGATGAAGTTACATTTCTGAAATAAAAATTTGATTAGAATAATTTGTGGAAATTTGTTAAAAAGATAATCCTAATCAGTATTTAAAAAGATAAATTTTGTTACCCCAGGTATCCAGGTATTAACACCTAAAGTTATAGTTTTTCCCCATCGGTATTATATAGATTTAATTGATTCGTATTCAAATTTAATTAAAGCACTAAGTACATATTGCTGCATATCATGGTGACAATGAAATGGCGAAAGTTACTTTTTTTCCCAAAAGTATTACTAGACCTTAATTATTAAGAAGTACAAAACATAAATACCTATGTTATAAAAATACATGATATAAATAATCGATAATGACAAATGTCTGGCAATTAAGAAAGACTCTAGGACGTACACATGTTTAATTACGAAAACTCAAGATACTATTTAAATAATAACTATGACAACTTAGGTCTTAAGTGTTTAGATACTATACTCGCGCCGGCGAGGGAACGCTTTTGGGCGGCGACCAAAATTCGTCCGATCTCGCGCATTCCCACCACCTAACCTTCCCGAACGCTGGCCGCCGTCAACTCTGGCCTTGAAACTGTGTCAGTGTTTGTATACAGCGTGTACTATAATAGTGTTACCATAATAGGTTTGTTCGTTTTGAAAAAAAAGTGTACACTAATTAGTGTAGTGTCAGGGGAAAGTGTAAGGGGTGTGATTAAAAATCTGTTTTTAAAACAAACGTTTTTGGTGTTGATTAATCAGCTGATAATTTTTATCAATTTTAATAACTGATAATAATTTATTTCTATTGATAGTATAATTGATCAATTAATTAAATTAATAATAAATAATTAATTACTTTTTTTAACAAAAAAATCAGGGGATGGAGTTGTGTGACTCTTCGTCTTCCGATGAGGACATTTTGTTAGAGCTGTGGAATCCTATCAAAATCTCAGCAGCTGTATATGTAAACGATGACGACGATGATGGTAAACATTGTACAATGATTTATGATCCTGTTTAGGGTTTGAGCTATACTATGTTTTTAATCTTTCTGAATAAATATGATCTCTTTGATTACTGTCTATAGATGTAGAAGATATTATTAATGTTAAGCATCCAGTTATTAACAGAATTCAAAGGATTGATCGGGTTAAAATTACTAACTATCTTGAAATAGTTTCTAACTACAGCGACAAAGACTTTCTCATGCATTTTAGATTTAATAGAGATGCAGCCAATGAACTTATCAATTTATTTAAAATGTCAAGTTTTTATACATGTTTAAAAGGTATAATTAATTATAAGATGATGCATATTGCATAATAGTTTTTGACTGATTCTTAATGTTATGTATGTATGTATTCATATATATTTACATTCACATGGAATGCAGGTCGAATTCCATTGAGTCCAGAGAAACACATGTTAACATTCTTATGGTTTTTTGGTCACCAAAGCTCCAGTTATAGAGACGTTGCTGATCGGTTTGGTATAACATTAAGTGCATTGTTTGATGTTATTACTCGTGTTGCTGATTTTCTTATTTCCATTGCACCTACTGTTATAAAATACCCAAATTCTAATGAAAAAAAGCAAACATCTGAATATTTTTTTCGGACCAAAAAATTTCCTAAAGTGATTGGTAAGCATCAATACCTTGTTGGGTAGGATTGGCGTGTTGGGAAGTTTGGAATTTTTCCACTTGTTTCAAAAGAATCCTTAGAAGTTTAATATTGTATAAAAAAATAATTTATAAAAATGTTACATATTTTAATATTTGTAGTCTTTACATCGTTTTATTAGTTTTAAACTTTTAAAATAAACAATTCAAAAATTATGTAAAAAGACAATTTTCCTCCCACTGCTCAACTGGCCATGTATATTATATCTTATATAGTTATTTTAAACAATTGTGACGTTCTCTAAAATGTACGTAGTCTCGTATAACATGTAAGCAGGGATTTGTTAAATGTATAATAATTTATTCCATAGGGGCTATTGACGGAACACATATAAGAATAGATAGGCCTGAAGTAGATCCTGATTCATATATAAATCGCAAACAGTATCATTCTATTCAGTTACAGGGACTTGTCAATGAAAATAAAAAAAATATAGATGTATTTATTGGATACCCTGGCTCAGTGCACGATGCCAGAGTATTTAAAGAGTCTGCATTATTTCGATCATTACCAGATTTGTGTTCAGGTAAAATTAAATTCGATTTTAAATTGAGAATTAAAAAAAAAATGAAATACTATTAAAATTAATTGATAACTAATTTTTGTTGTAGGTGATTACTAATTTTAGGCCTTACTTAATATTATTATAGTTCCCCTGAGCATGTTATTTTTCATTATTATTATTACTTATGATTACATTATGATATTATTATATTTATCGCTCGCCAATGCATAAATGACCACAATGTTACATAACACCTGACCCCGGCCCCCACAACCCGCAGTGTCCGCCCGCCAACAGGCCGCTGCCGTTGCCGGTCGTCACCGCCGGTCGCAGCTGTCGCGTCCGTCGATACGCACCGACAAAGCAGTCTGTTTTCCCAATTATTATTGTAAACGTCCCTATAATGCGACACTGACCTTCCCCACCACGTCAACATCAACGGCCACGACCAGCGGCAAGACAACATCAGCCGTCTTTACACACATTTTCCGAGATCGCTGAACGAACCAGACGTTTTGGTACCGTGACGCATCCCGAACTTTTCAACAACGACCACAACCGCGTGTCGACCACCATCACTCCGCGTGTGATTATTATTATTGTTTTTAATCAACGGGAACCAACCGCCATGATGGGCTAAGTACCGCTCACGGGCCCGATGGTGGGCAAAGCTGCTGAACCTGTCAACCTCCGTGTCGCCGTCACCATCCGAGGCGGTTTGATCGACGACAAGATGGGCCATGCCGGCCGCGTGTGTGCCGGTGGTATTAACCAGCCCATCCAGTTCCTCGGTCAACAACACATCTCAAGCTCAACGTCGTCAGAGTAATACCTACAAAATTTTCCCCCCTTCTTTTTTTATTTTTTGTCACTTAAAAGCACGATACTTGTGAAATGTGCGTTGCAGAACGTCCAGGTGTGGTTGCCATTGGGGCCTAGCGGGTAACCTCCTACACGTTCACATACAGCTGGCGTAAAAAACCAGCTGTCCCTGTGCGCGTTTAAGTAGGGGGCCCCGGACCACACTTACAGACGTTCGACCTTTCATTTCCCCCCCAAATCATTTAAACTGCCCCGGTAACCCTGTGGAGACCACCACGAGTAATGTGATGTGTCGATCCCCGTGGGCCGAGCGTTGTTTTTTTTGTTTCCCATGTGCCCTTTTATATTTTATACCTACTTGCCATGTGCCATGCTATATATTTTATTTTTGTTAAACTGAAAAATGTCAAAACCTTATTTAAATTATCTACAATCAAAAAACCTGTAAAATACATCCAAGTGATTACCCTAATATTGCTCTTATTATTTATTTTCATTAACTTATTTTTTTTTTTCTCTCTCTCTCTCTCCCCACATAAATCCTCGGCATTCAGCTTGCCGTTGCGTGTATCAAAGCCTGTGAGCTCCACCGACTTGACCCTCGGGTCTCACGCGGTGCGGCTCACAGGTCATGAGGAAAGTGTTCCCCTTTCGTCATGGGTGGTTTTGGTGGCCTTAAAAAGTCACTAACTCTCACATATGGCGACCGTGACAGGACGAAATGTCCAAAAGTCCCCCTTTTAACTTATAATATATTTTTTTTTTTATATACTCTCAAACTTAAAATCCTTTCTCAAAAATATTAAAATTACTCTTTAAATGGCAAAAAACGTTAGGTCTCAAATATTATTTTTCTTGGCAAGCACATGGCAAATTATTATCCACTTCCATCCGTAAAAATTATTATTTTCCTGTAAGAAAAAAACATTTATTATTCATTTTCTAAATTTCCTCTTATTGCAACTCCCCAAATCTCTTACCTATTTTATTATATTATTCAATATGACATTTTTATTCTTGTGCAAGAGACAATCTTTATTATATTATTTAACTTAATGTCATACTATTCAGTTAATTATTCTCTCTCTTGGTAACAAAAAAAAAAAATGTAAAATATTAAAGTCAAAAATGTATTATTCACTACCAAGGTAAATTCAATCAACTATTATTATTTCCCGCCCCCCCCCCCCCATGTACACATTTGTTATCCAGTAATTTATTTCAGAAATTGTTCCTGTCGGTGTATGCGTCGTGGAGGCGGTGGTGGCGTTCGACGGTGACGGCTTGGCGATCGGCTGCGGCATCGAGGCTCGGACACTGCGAATGACCCGTCTATTTCCCTTTGGTTTGCATTATTATATTTTCCCCTTATTCTCCCCCCTTGTTAGTTTTCCCTAGACCCGTACATCCACCCTTGTATAACATTGCTTGGATCATTTTTGTATTTTGCTGCGATAACTTAAGTTTTTTTTCCCAGACCACATGGTCCAAAATGTTAGGATTGTTAATGTCAAATCTGCGGATTGTTATTATATTATTATATTATGTATTATGTTATTATAAATTATTAAATTATGTTCTTGATGAGCATGTTTCCCTTGGTAGGAACAATTATTATTATTCTTATATTATTAAATTTAAAAGGCTAGGAAAAAACCCAATTATTATTCTCATTCTTATTATTACATTATTTTGTTAGGATTACTATTCTTATCTGTTTAAATTCCCCAACTTCAAAGCTTAATATATTATAAAAAATCATTTATTAAAATTATAAAATCAAATTAAATAAACATTCTCTTGCACGGAATTAATAAATAATATACATTTTCTTTCTCCACATTGTGCAATCAATTTAATAGGAAATATTTATTATTATAACGTCCCCTTTAAAAGAACAAAATACCCAATGTTAGGTAGGTTTTCCCTCTGATAATTAAATTACTTTACACGACTGACTGTTTGAGAAGCTGGTGTAGGAAACTTTGACCTGGTCAGTTTAGTCCACCTAAGGCCCATATCATATTATTCATTACCTTAATTATCATTATTTTCTAATTATTTAGTCTAAACTAAACCTATTAAGACCGGTTATATCTATTCGTCTGCGGACATTACTTATTTATTACTGTTAATATCTTACAATTATTACATTTTATTTAAGTTTCATAGTTAATTATTATTATAGTGTTTTTCTCAATTGATTATAATTGGTGCTGAGCATATGGGATAAATTCACCGTATGGTATTATTGCTTGGACCTGTGTATTTACTCTGTTGTTCAGAAACAAGTTTAATCTATTAATTGTAATTTTCCCCTAATTATCATTTAAATATTATTCTGTTATATAAACGGCTGTTACTTAAAACTTATTATTTAAAACTTATTTCATTTTCCCCTAATGCAAAGTGCAGGCAAGCGAACCACCCGACAACCTGACTGGTATAACCCTTCAGTAAATTATTCCTCTCCCCTCTTACCCCCCACCGATTTCGATTTAACCATGTCCGTCGACGGAGAAGGTGATGTCTCGTTGACTCAAAAGGTCCCCCCTACTCTTGACTCCTTAGACAATAGGCTCAGAGATATGTTTGAAAACTTTGCCCTCCAGTTTGACGCTATGTCCAAGAGGTTAGTTGCTTTTGATACCCGTATTGAGGAGTTGTGTACCCGTGTGGATGACGGTGATACTGAGATTAGGACAAATTTCCAGCAACTTCAGGCGAATATCAACCGTGATTTTATAAATATTCAGAACGATCTCTCTCATCAACAACTATGCTGTCAGGAAACCCAGAAAACCAACACCCTCACATATCACCAAATCCAAAACACTGTCAAAACCCTCACTAGTAGAGTAAGCATGGTCGAAGGTCAATCTGCCCGTCTAGCTGCCCTGGAAAATGTTGTCCGGAACCCTATCTCTGTCTCTAAACCTCTTTCTACAACCTCGTACCCCCTAGCCTGTTCTCAAGCCCCAGCCAATATCAGCTACCAACCCCCTGCACAAACTTTCAATAATAATATTTCCGCTATGCCTCAAATTTCAAGTAAAGATAGTCAACCCCTCTTACAACACTCTTTTAATAATTCTCAGCCTTTTACACAAAATTCATTTAATAATCTGTTCACCTCAACTACAATTACAAATTCACTTCCCACACAACCGGCTGCCCCGTATCACACTTCAGTCTATTCGGCACCTCAACACCAATGTACATTTTCAAACCCTAGCACAACTAGTAAATGACGTCAGGTGTACGCGGCTATGTACCATTTTTATACTAAAAACGCCATAGGAGTGTAGTGATCCCTCACTAACACTTATATTTTTGAGTTCAGAGAAGATTTTTACAGTTCACTGTACGAATCACATATAAAAGATAAACATTATGATCATGCGAAGACGGTTTGGAATCATTTCAACTGTAAAACAATAGGGGAATACTCCGATCTTTATTTAAAAATTGATGTACAACTGTTGGCTGATGTGTTTGAAAATTTCCGAGACCTCTGTTTAAGCACATACCATCTGGACCCATCATTTTACTATACGGCACCTGGATTCTCATTTGACTGTATGTTGAAATACACTTCAATGAAGGTGGAATTGTTGACAGATTATGATATGTTGTTAATGATTGATTTAAAATTGATTGTAAATGATTTTTAAATAAAGATCGGAGTATTCCCCTATTGTTTTACAGTTGAAATGATTCCAAACCGTCTTCGCATGATCATAATGTTTATCTTTTATATGTGATTCGTACAGTGAACTGTAAAAATCTTCTTTCTGAGGCAAAACTGTTTCTTCCAACTTGTCCCAACTATCTGTATACTCATAAGGGTAGACTCCCTTTCGGGTAACAAGTGGTAAATCTTGAGATGAAAAATATTTTTCTGTCTCTCTAAACTTTTCAAATCCGGGTGTAATTAAATTTTTTGAAAGTTTTGATAAGCTTGCGGGCATAAATCTTAATGTGTCTATAAATCTTATTGTGAAAGTGTTGCTAATATATTTTGAAAACGTTATAAACTTTTCCTCACTGTTTGGTATTGTAACGGGCTGTGACTACGTACATATTATAATAGTAATAATATATAAAATATTATATTATATTATGCTGTATTAAGTATAATACGCTTATAATATAATATATTATATTCAATAACAAATATAAATGCTGCAGAGGGCAAGTAACCCGATAATAGTAATAATATAAGCGTCCGGGCAGCCACATCGATAAGAGTACAGAACTAATTAATAGTACAGCGCAATAGGTATACGCGCGCATTATTCATATTCTAGGAAAGACGCAAAAGCCGTAAACAACAAAAATAGATAACTTTGAAAACATATAATCCCCAATTAACATTATTCCGTAGAGGACGCCGAAATGACGTCAGGTGTACGCGGCTATGTACCATTTTTATACTAAAAACGCCATAGGAGTGTAGTGATCCCTCACTAACACTTATATTTTTGAGTTCAAAGACGTTGACGGTTGAATAGGAGAAAAGGTTGCAGAGACAAGTTACACAAGTTAGGTATAAGTAGTTTATTAATGTTTTAAAAAGTAAATGTTCACAATTAAGCGAAATATAAATTTGAGGACAGAGCGAAAAGCATCTGCCCGAGAAGTTAGTTACGTACAGTATGTACGTAGTGCAAACTCTAAACTAATTCTAATTTTGCAATAGACATCATCTTATATTTATATGAAATCTATGCGGATATAAAAGTACACGGTAGAGTCTAGGAGATGGATATTTGAAAGGCGCCTGGAGGTAGATGTTGTTATTGCCAAAAGACCCGAGTGGTTGATTGGCAATTTAATAAGTTTGTTTTCGCATTATTTTGGCAAAGCGAAGATTCGCAAATTAATCGTTAGATTAGTTTTTTAATTGCTCTGTCAAATCCAAGGTTTGAAAAAGATAAGTTTTAATTGTGCTGTCAAACCCAAGGTATTGCAAAAGATTCCTAGTCTTGTTGTTGTCCAGCGTGACATCGTGAGAAATGTAATTATAATATTGAATATATAGGAAACGACTCCGTCGGTTTACTACATTCCTCCCCTCGAAGATGGAAGTCTCCGACTTCCCTTAGTTCAAGAACGTACGAAGTTGTGGATAGCCAGTAGGGCTGTTTCTTGGTGTGAGTGGAAATTCGACTGTGTCGACGCTTCTTGTCGACGTTTCTTGGTTCGCACCATGTGGTTCTGTTTCTTCTGGTGACTCTACTTTTGTATAGTTTGTTTTGGATTTAATCGTATTTATAATAAATATGCTTACTGTCATAAAAATTACACTTGCTATGACATAAAGTATGTAATTATTCAGTTCCTGTGAGTTTTTAAGTTCGTCGATACTGTTGTCGACCTTGCGTTGTTTTTCCAGCTGTTTTTTCGATCCTGACACTGTATTTAGGTCCTCCATGTTGTTTGTTTTGACATGATAGTCTTCCATTAAATTGTTAGTCTCTACGCGTAGTGAGTAGTGGTTACGATCTATTATTGACCGTGGGTTGAAGTCCATATACTCGGATTTGTAGTCAACCTTACCCGGTATCAGTATGTCTCTAGTGGCGTAACCTTTGCAGGTTTCGTTTAAGTGTATTATTCCTACCCCTTTGAGTGTGTGGCTAGTTGATTCCTTGTCTTCATCACAGGTAACAAATAGTACGTCATAGTCGGTCACGTATATCCATTCATTTTTAAATCTCTTCTTATGGAAAATAGTTGTACCTATTTGCACATGCATTACTTCACAACTGTTCGGAACCTTGTCTGGATCCTGCAATAATAGTACTTCGCATGTGGGTCGTATATTACGAGGATGTAAAGGATTACCTTCAGGACATGGATAGTTATATTGTCGTGTGGTTCTAAATTATGTTGTAGTTCTACTACCTTAATTTGTTCTTTTATCAATTTAGATTGTGAAGTGTTTTTAGCTACTCCTATATTAAAATTGAATTTCTGTATGCATTCTAAATTACATATTCCGTATATTAACCTAGCTGTTTTTGTTACTAGTTTAGTTAAAGCGCTACGCTTAGTAATTACGTGTCCAATAGAATTTAAGACCTGTGTCTTTTTATGGTGTAAATTTTCAACTATAGCGGTAGCTGAAAGAAGTAAGTTGTTACAATTAAAATTATTTTGTACTGGGTCGTGCATGTGTGTAACGCACAATACTTTCGTTTTTTCTATTACTAGGTTTATGTATTCGAATTCTTTATTTTATTTAGTAAGGTTAATGTATGCAGTAAGGTCCCATTGAGATGTTACAAGTTTCAACGGTCCTCGATTTTCGTAGTAAATACCAGAATGTTGAGTTAAATGTTCGTCTGTGAATCGTAATGTGCCCGATGTGAACGGTATTGTTAGTAGAATAAGTCTGAAATCGTTTCAGCTTATTAGTCAAGTCATAGTTTTGAATATTTAATATATTCCTACCTATAAATATTTTGATTTTTAAAATCTAAGTTATTAAATATTAACCCATTCCCATGTATAAATGATATATATATATATATATATATATATATATATAAAAAAACTAATTGATAACCTTGTACCGAATGATAATAATAATAATAATAATAATAAAATAATAAAATAAAATACCAAAGAAAAAGTAAATATAAATTGAGTGAAAAATATAAATAATACGTTAAGTTACGTTATAATTCTACCGGTTCAATTTTGTTTTGTTTTGCGCGCACGGCGTCGTTAATTGTATTTTTATGTACTTTGTAGAGTTGTAAAAAGAGGCACCGTGTCCATTGGACGTCTGCTCGTGGATCATGAGCTTCCAGTCCCCCGTGATAGTATAAGTCCTCACATAACAGCGTATGTGCTTCATCTAGTTTAAGTGCCCTTCCCCTTTTAATGTGTTTTCTTATTGGGATTGACGCTATCGGTTCGTTACTTCCGTAGTCAGTAAGGAGAAGTACGAAATGTCCATCCATGTGGAGGTCCCACCCACGTAAAGAAAATACGGGTCGGTTAATGTTTAATAGTTCTAAAATTTTTTTGTCGGTGCTTCCCTCCCAAGTTAATATGGCGTCGTAACGATCTAATTGTCCTTTTATTTGCGGTTGTGTAAGGTTCGGTGACAATGAGTGGTCCGAGTCGTATATTTGGGCGAGTACGGGGTACAAAGAGGTGGGCTTATCCTTAAATATATGCTGGAAATGTCTAACTAACTGTTTCCATTCGTCGTCCGTAATGGGTCGATTTTACTGTAAATTCAACGCCCGCCCCTCTAGTTTCGTAATAATTTCCGGTTGATATCGGCCCATGATGGCGCCTGATATTAATATTAATCGATCTCGCCCGCAGCTGCCGAATTCGAAATCTATTATTGCGAACTCAGGTACTTTACTGTAAAATATACTCATTTTAGTCGTAAATTAAAAAAAAAAAACAAATATTATGTTATTTATGTTAGTATATATATAAATAAATCGAAGTTCAGTTTTAATAAAAATAAGAAAAAAAAATAGAAAAGTAAAATTATGGTTACATTATTAAAAGGTTAGTCGTTTATATACGAATATGTCCGTTGGATCTACCGTGCTGTCAATAAATTCTTTTAAGTAAATGCACAGTGGTTTTCTAAGTGGTCGGTTTTCTTTTGTCATGTCGTGAGAAAAGTAGTTGAGTGTGCGCGTTATTTCCAGTATTTCTGCTGGCGTGTATGGCCGCAATAAGTTTTTATTTGCTGTATCGATATGAAATAACAAGCAATTTGGTATTTCGTCGTGATATAGTGCGCGTAGGTTATGCTGTTGTAACCCTATGGTTTTGCTAAGTTCCTTAATGAAAATTTGTTGTTTCATTCTAAAACAATAAAGAGAAAGATAAGGATAGAAACTAGAAAACCGTGGATATTTGCATGCGTTTATGAATGCTTTTGTTGATAAGAAATAAGATAGATTTGGCTAATTCTCAAATTGATAACTTTGTAGAAGACCACCTACGTAGTTGTATTATTATTAACACGTAGTACTAATCAATACTTTATATTCAATGAACGGATATCAGGGTTATACGAATGATTGTGAAATTGTACAAAACATTGTAGTCATAAGGAAAGTAACACAAGTATGTAATGCGAATATAAACTGTTTAATTATTATATGAATTCGGATATATAAGTACATTGTAAAGGGCAGTAGATCGAACAGTCTTATAACAAGCGTATGACTCGTACCTTATCATTGTCGATATGTGTGTGTTTATT